CTTTATAATAACTCAAAGATAGCCTGTCTCTGACCCAGTGAGCACCTACTCTATGTGTGTGTGCACTGAAGGAAACATTGGTCAAAAACCAGTCTCTGCTACTGCCTAGATCCTTGACCTTGGGAGTCACTTCCCTTGTATGGCACAGTTTCATCTTTTAAGCTTGCACTAGAGATAACTTTCAAGATCATTTCCCAGCTCTAGATGCCACAAAGGTCTACTTCTATCACTGGAAAATTTCTGATTCCTTTGAGGCTCAGCTAAGTTGTTGACTCTTCTGGGCAGCCCTCATCCCAAACTCCTCAAGATTTCCTCCTTAAAATATCTTGCATTTCATAGGTCATAGATCTAGGACTGAAGAGAACCCAGAAACTATCCTTTCTGGTCTCTTAATTTTACTGTTGGGGAAACTAAAACCCAAGAAGGGTAAGTGACTTCCTTAAGGTCAGACAGTTAGTGACAAATTGAGGATATGAACCTAAGACCTCTGACTCCAGGGCCAGTGTTCCTTGCACTTCATCAGGTTGTCTCTTAGAACTTCAGCTCCTTCTGGACAGGGATAGTTTCTTTGTCTTTTTTTTTTCCTTTATGCTGCCAAAGCCTACCACTGTATCTTGAATATGGGAGAAACTTAATAAGTGTTTGTGAAAACTGAATGTTGACTAAAATTCTTCTGGGAATATTATATTAAAAAGGACTGGGAAGTGGATCTGCATTACATGCCTCCCTCCTGCCTAGAATTTACTAAAATAATAAAAACAAGAACCAAAGAGTTTAAGTACAAAGGACTTTTTATTGACATTGTAAGAAACATTATTTTTCTTTGTTATGAAAGAACTAAGTGGTTCTGAAAGCAAAACTCCAGGGGTTCTGTCCATGGTGCTATAAGCCTTTCAGTTTGATGCAAGGCCTTACAGCATCACATCACAACTGCAGGTTTATCCAAAGGAGGACCCAAGGCCCTGTTACACCCCAACACTAGTCCTACGATACATAAATGTATTTACATTTTTTTTAAAAGAAAGGATTACATATTTTATTAAAAAAAACTAAAAAGATTGGGTTGGGGGAGGAAACTGTGGGTTTATCTTACACACATCTGCAGGATGCACAGAAGGAAACTTCCAGGGAACATTCAGACAAGGGAACAATGAGCATCAGAAGTTGATGTGATGGTTCAGATTATGGGAAATGGCATGTGCTCTTGGCTGACCAATGAGGGCTCCCTCCATGCACTCATTGGGCAAAACGTCTTGGTCCCTCTTGTTGACAAGATTAACAAAAAATAAGGCACGTACATTGTGAAAATGGAAACACTGTTGGTTGTCACAGAGTCCAAGTCTGAAAATATGGGTTGGCCTAAATCATTTATTTTTCTTTCTTCAAAAAGACAGAGGTGATTAACAGAAGTACCATTTGCTGACTCTCCTTGAAGTCAGTACTATGTTGAGCCTGGTCTCATATCTCCCTTAAACACTAAGTAGGAAAGGCAGAAAGGACACAGGCAGCTAGGGGAAAGAGGTGGGGAAAGCCTGATAGTTGGATTCACCGAACAGTGGGCAGGGGAAGGTTAGCCTATGAAAGCTGGTATGCTCTGAGGTAACCGCAAAAGTACCCTCCTAATACTGAACTGTACCTTGTCATTGGAAATACCTTTCATGGACCATTCATATTGGAATGAGATAAACTTTTCTCCCAAACATTGATGTACTTGCAAGATGGATAGCAACTGCATATTGAACAAGAAGGATGGTAGATAAAAGACCTCTTCCAATAAATAAAAAGAAATCAGGTGCTCTGGATAACAGAGAGAAAAGACTTCAAGTAAAAAAAAAAAAAGAAACAGAAAAGAAAGTGGGCCCTTAAGATTCTAACAGTTTTTCTAGGCTAGTGTTGGTGTTTATGACATGGGCATTTGTAAGAAGTTTGGTCATGCTGGTCAACTTCCAGAATATATACCTAGTCATGGGCTCTTTATACTATGTTTACCAGGGCAACTATATGTATAATAAATGGGTGCAAGAGTTTAAAAATACCTGGCCAAATGTCACTGATTCTAGCTGTCCCATTCTGTAATTTGATAATTGGCCCCTTTTCATATTTAGTGAACCCTATACCCCAACAAGGCTCAACTCTGTCACTGACCACAAGAGTTGGGACTTTTAGGGTTCGTATGTGCTCCTGTGAGAAACCTAAAATCTGGATACAATGAGATTTGGTCAGATGATAGAAAGAGGATACATCCCAAGACAGAAAGTATTGGCTGATTTTAGGAATGAGCCATGTGCCATAGGGCGCCTTCCTTTCCATATATCTCCTAACATTCTCTTGTGTTTTAGGTCAAATGTGGGCACTCCTTTGATTTCAAACAGAGCAGTATCTACAGAAATGTTAAGGAGGAGTTGGGGAGGAAGGTAGGAAATAGCTCAAATCCTGCCTCAGAAACACTTACTAGTTGTGTGACCCTGGACAAGTCACTTAATCCAGATTGCCTCAAAAAAAATGCTTGGCCTCAGAGTGTAACATAACTGTGTAACATTGGGCAACTCACTTGCTTTTCTGGGTCTCAGTTCTTCATCTGTAAAATGAAGACATTGCACTCAATTATCTCTGAGGTCCCTTCTAGGTCTTTATGATCCTCTCATCTGAAATAATAAGTTAGTGGCAGCTAGAATGGTTGGACCAATTAATGGTGGAATGCATGGGGGAGGGAATAGTGATTCTAACCTTTCTATTCTTCCTTTCAAATTTCTTTTTTTAACACTAATTTAAATAGGGGAAAAGGAGGAAGAGGCACAGAACTGATTCATAACACTTTGAGTTACAGACTCATGAGAGTTGGAAGGAAATTCAGAGGCCAACTAGTCCAACCACTATCTGATTCAAAAACAATAAACAAAAAAAATCCTCTCCACAATACCCCAGATTGGGATGGCATGAGGAGAGAAGAATCTAGCCTTCACTTTCACTTCTAGTGAGAGTCAAAATGGGACAGGGTTTTGCAGGTATTTCAAGGTATTTCTCCCTCTTATTCTAATAATCTACATATTAAAAAACAAAACAAAACAAAACAAAAACAGTAACCTGAACAACCCATGTAGTATTTGTGCACATACAGTACATCACAATGTGTATCATTTGCATGGGGGAAGGAGTCCTGTAAAATACTAAACAATTTCACTTCAAAATAAAAATATAGATCCTACTTTACATTAGGGACAAAATGAATACAAAATTCATTTTTTTTTTCAAAATTGATGTGGCATTTCATAGATACTGGTGAAAAAATAAAGATGTCCACACAACCACGATATATAGTTTCCATTGTACTTCCAATAAAATTAAAAAAACTAAGCTGAGCGATTTATACCCAAGTGCAATATAAAAAAAGTGATTTTTCCTCTCTTACTCTTTTATAAGTCCCTTAAAATAAGGGTTTAACATAGAAATCCTCCTTCATGATTGCAGCAGTAAACAGATGCTAAATACACAGTTAGCAATGGGCGTATATAGATAGCTTCTGTTTCAGAATTCTAAAAACAGTTGATTTTCAGTCCTCTCTGGGCATAGTGAAGAGAAGATGATCCATGGATCATCCCTACATAATACTCTACCAATAGCTTTAGTCTCAGCATCCACCAAACTTTCCCCCCAATTATCTAATTGGGCTGTCCCTTCTTTCCCTTTCTCTCCCTCTGGCTGAAATGCTACAAAAGCAGAGGAATAGCTAAAAGTCAAATAGAAAGAGGGAAGAAGAGGAAGGAAAACAAAGATACCTGAGAAGTGACCATTGACACAGATTCACTCATACACATTTCAATTCACAGACTGTCTGGGAGAGAAAAAGAAAAACAAAAACACGGAGAATGTCATAGTTTATCTGAAAGAGTTCCCTTATTTCCCTGGACCCACAGCAATAAAAAAAAGCCTGCTATGGATTAAACTAAGTTGGGATGCAGGACAGTGGGTATAAGAAGAGAAGATGCTGTAAGTTTGTTGGACATAGCATATAATACACCAATGGGGAATCACATTCTATTCTCTGCTTATTGTGCCCAGTGTAATCAAATTGAAAATGGAAAAGGAAAAACAGAAACATGGTCCTTGGGAAATCAGTCCCAACACTCAGGTGTCTTTTGAGTAATAGAAAACTGTCCCATCCTTTCACTGGACTTCTCTTAAAAAAAAAGGAAAACATGCACATGACACATTTATATGGGTTTACAATTCAAAAACAGGTTACAGAGCTTTAAAAAAATGAAATGGGACAAGGACGAGGAGGAGGAGGAAGAGGAATGGGGCTAAGAATACTGACTCAAAATTGAAATGGAAGACAGTTTCTCCCTACAACACTTTAGGGTTTCTCAGAGTCCTTTTTCCATAAAAGGAATATACTTGAAACACATCCCATTCAGGTGAGATGAGATTACAAAAATACATACACAACTAAAAAGAATCCATTTCACCTTTAAAATTCCTAAAGTTGTTTCTGTTTTTTTTTCTTTTATCTTAATTTTCCCAACATCTATTGCATCACTGCTAAAAACTTGCTTTCTTCTGCAAGGGAGGTCAGCAAAGAGTTCATGTCCCCAATTGCCATGTTGGTGGTATTAACAGGCAAGGAGGGGAATGTCAGAGATGCTCGTGGAGTGGTGAGGCGAGAGGAATTGTGGGAAAGATTCTGAATGATGCTCGGACTCAGGGCTCCTGAAATTAAGCTGGCATGGTCCCCATCATCTATGATTGCATCAAAATCAATCTGCACCCCTTCCAGGCTGTTGCTGTCAATGTTATCAACCGTGCTGGTCACCTGGTTAGCACCTGGGGAGAGCAGCTCAGAGTTTTCAGTGCCAGTACCCTGAAGCAAGCAGTTAGCTTCTGAAATGGAGAAAGACCCCGTTTTCATGTCTTGCTGACTAAAGCCCAGGGTTTGGTCATACAACTGACCAGAGTAATGTGGCACATTAGAGCAGAGCTGTTGTGACTGACCTTGGGTCTCCATCTTAATACCATTGACCCTGCAGGTCTGATTTGCATCACTGACATGTCCTTGTTGTTGAGCTAGGCTATTCCTCAGCATGATTTGCCATCTACTGCCCCCATAGTTGGCATATGGTTGGTATGTCTTTGCTATGGCCAAACTCGATTGCTGATTCCCAATGCTTGACAGACAGCTCTCTGACCCTTGGTAGACACTGCTTTGTGAGGTAGGACTGACCTGCCCTAACATCATCTGACTGGTACGATTCACAGCTGGGAAATGAGCACCTTCAGCCAGTGTCTGACTCTGGAGGCAGCCCTGACTCTGTGTTCCATTTGCCATGCTGCTTGGAAGCTCATTCGGGGCCACCGCCATGCCATAGTTTGGCTGGCTTCCATTCAGTGGCATGCTGTTGCTTCTCAGCTTCTGTCCTGGAATCAACGAGCCACAGGAACCATCTAATGCCCCACCTACTGTCGACTGCCTATTTAGGCTCTCTCCATATTGCTGAGCCTTGTTGGACTGCAAATGGAAAGAAGTTCCATTGGTACCACTGCTACCCCCACTGCTACTGGGGAGCAAATTCTCCTGCAGGCCACATGAGCTATTTTCTACCAGCTGCTGGTAACCATTGGCTTGGGCTACTCCATTCCTCAAAAGGTTCTGCTGCTGGACAACCATGTTATTATATAAACCAAAGGCTCGAGCTTGTAGGGCTGATGAACGTTGGGCACACTTCAATTTGGATGGGGACAGGTCAGCACTCCCTGAGCTGACTTCATTCCACTGAATGGGGAGGTCACTCTTGCTGGCATCTGAGCTGGGTGGCTCTGGAGCATGATACTGAGAGATGACATGGTTGCTTGGCAGGTGGGGCTGGTCAAGCCCATGATGACCATTGGCCATTGGGGTCCCATGCGGCACTTTGCTATTCTCAGAAATGCTGTTCAGGAAGTGCTGTTCATAGCCACCCTGGCCCTGAGAGTTCAGGTACTGCACCACATCGTCTGGCAAGAAGTCCTCATCATTCAAGTTGGCATCAGATTCCATGGTTAAAGACTCCAAGGTGACATTCTCACTGATGCTCGGAGGACAAGGAGAAGAGTAGAAATTACGGAACAGGCCGCCCTCAGGGCGAGTATAATTCTGGAGCACAAAATTATGTTTTTCCACGTATGGAGGCAAAACAGGAGGGTTAAAGCTATTTAGACTGTTGACACGCTGAACTCGAGGCAAAGAAAGGTTCTCTGAGACCATCCGTACAGGGTCACTGGCTCTTCTCATCCCATTCCCCAGCATATCATGAGGCAAAAGGGTCCTCCGCCCATAACTGTTGGTTCCACCATCACTGCATCTTCGGGGAGGGTTGACAGGGGGGAATGGGGAGAGGCCAGACTCCCTGCAATCCCCCATCAGTGCCATCCTTGTCTTCAGGCTCATCCTTTCCATGTTGGGTAATGGGGTGGGTGGGGGCCCCCCAGTTGCTGCTGCATACTTGGCCTTCAGCCGGTACTGCTGTGCAGGGGTGAGGCTGAGGAGGCTGGGCAGCCCATCAGCTTGACTCGCCTCACTGGAGCGGCGAGAGGCGTCTGTGGAGATGGGGTCATAGGAGTCGGCCACGCTCACGTTCTGGAGCCGGCCCTCGGCTTGGGAAGCCTCGCTGGACCTGCGGCTAGAGAAGCAGGGGGAGATGCCCGAGGACCTGCGGCTACTCAGATAGGCCGAGCTGATGGTGCTGGTGTTACTATCTCGTCGGTTCAGCACATTCAGCATGGTGACGTCCACGCTGGACAGTTCATTCCGGTTAGGGAGGATAGTCATTGGCCCATTCACGCTGCAGCTGGGGTTGGACTGTATTCCTGTAAAAAGAGCAGAGAGGAAGACAACTGAGGAGGTGTGCATCAGAGGAGCACTTCTCAGAGAAAATCCTTGGCTCACAAGCATGGCAGACCTCGGCAAACCCTTTTTTGAAAGAATGAAAGAAGGCAAGAGTAGAAACTCTGCTCTTGATCTGGCCCGAGGGTAAGGCAATGGAAGCTAGATGGCAGAGTTAAAAGTGACCTCAATCCAACCTCTCCCTGAACAATAATCCCCTCTACAAAACACCCCAAAGTGGTCATTGAAAATTTTCTTGAATCTCTGCATTGACAAGGAATCCGTTACCTCCCAATGCAGCCCATTCCATCTTGGGAGGACTTTGATTGGGAGGAATCCCTCATTTTGACTTTGGACAACTCCTACTGAGGGCTCCTGGTTCTGCTCTGTGGGTCTAAGCCAAGTCCTCTTCTACAGGAGAAGCCTCAAGTAGTTGAAGGCAAGTATTCTCAATGAACAATTATCAAATATTTACTAAGCACCTACACATAAACACTGTGCTAAAAACTGGGGATTGAAAGACAATCAGAATGAGTCCTGCCCTCCAGGATCTTGCAGTCCTGTGAGGAGAGACCTGTGTACACATAGCTACACAGAGAATAGCCACAAGGCAATACAAGGTAATTTGGGGGAAAAGAGGAAAGGTATGAACAGGCAGAATGATCAAGAATGGCCTCAGGTAGAAGGTGGTGCTTGAGCTGAGGCTAGAAATTCATGGAGGGATTCTAAAAAGCAGAAGTGAAGAGGGAATTCATGTCAAACATCCAGGTTAAAGAGACAGACACAAGAGATGGTGGGTCATAGGAAAGGAATAGTAAGAATGGAATTTGGCTAGACTGTGGATGGCATGAAGGAAAGTCATGTGTCATAAAGCTGGAAATGCAAGTTGGGGCCAAGGTGACATTCTCTGAATGTCAGAGAAATTTATATTTGATTCTGCTAATTGAGAGCCACTGAAATTAATTGAGTGGGGAATGATGTGGTCAGATTTGACAGCTGAGTGGTGGGTAGAGAGGAAGAGTCAAGTCTAGAGTCAGGAAGGTCAATTTCAGAAGCTACTGCAGTAGTCCACGTGAGAGAGGAGAAGGACCTGAACTAGGGTGGTGGCCATGTGAGTGGAGAGAAGTGATCACACATGAGATGTGGAGATAAAAATGGTAAAAATTTGGCAACTATTTTGATATGTTGTGAGTAAAAATGAGGAGACAAGGCTGGTGGGAACTTGGGTGACTAGAGGATCACGATCCCCTCAATAACCATCAGGAAGTTCAGAAAAGGTGTGCATACCTTTGACCCAGCAATACCACCACCAGGCCTTTGTCCCAAAGAGATCAGACATAAAGAAAAGGACTTATTTGTACAAAAATATTCATAGCAGCTCTCTTTGTGGTGGCCAAGAATTGGAAATTGAGGGGATGCCCATCAATTGGGGAACGGCTGAATAAGTGGTGGTATGTGATTGTGATGGGATACTATTGTGCTCTAAGAAATGACGAACAGGCTGATTTCTGAAAAACCTTCGTATGAACTGATCTAAAGTGAAGTGAGCGGAACCAATCATTGTAGACGGTAACAGTAAGATTGTAACGATGATCAACTGTGAAAGGCTTAGTTGCTTAGATCAATACCATGTTATTGCTCATTGAGTTGTGTCCAACTCTTCATGACTCCTTGGACCATTGCACACCAATCCTGTTTATGAGGTTTTCTTGGCAGAGATACTGGAGTGGTTTGCCATTTCCTTCTCCAGTGGATTAAAGCAAACAGAGCTTAAGTGACTTGCTCAGGGTCACACAGCTATTAAGTGTCTGAGGCCAGATTTGAACTCAGCTCTTCCTGACTCCAGGCCAAGTGCTCCATTTACTGAGCCATCTAATACACTGTCTTAATATGATGATCCCCATCAATTCAGAAGGACTTATGATGAAAATTGTTATTTACTTTCAGAGAGAGAGATAACTGATGAATTATGAGCGCAAATTGAAGTATAATTTTTTTTTCATTTTCTTCATTTTTCTTGCTTTTTTGAAACATGGTTATACTGAAATATTTTACATGATTTTACATGTATAATGAATATCACATTGTTTGCCTTCTCAGTAGGTGGGGGAGGGGCTGGAGAGGAGAGAATTTGGAACTAAAATTTCATATTTATACACAACAAATAATTTTTTTAATTAAAAGGAAGTTCAGAAGAGGAGTAGGTTGTGAGGGAGGGATAATTAATTGTCTTGGACATGTTGAGTTTGAAATATCTATGAGACATCCAGCTTGAAATGTCCAATCAGAAACTAGAGATAAGGGAGTAAATCTAAGCAAAAGGCCTTGAGCAAGATATGGAAATCTCTAAGTGGTTAGCACAGGAATACTTCAAGCCATCATAGGTTGTAAAGTTGCTAAGTAAGAAAGAGAAGAGAAGAAAAACTAGGACAAAGTCATGAGGAACACTCAAAGTGATGGGGTGTTCTATGGATGATGAACCACCAAGGTAGAAAGAGAACCAGGAGATGAGGATGTCACAAAAATCTGAGAGGAGGGATCCTCCAGGAGAAGAGGGGGCTAGTCAACAGTTTCTGATGTGTCCTGTAAACCTTTCTTCCCTGGCTTGAACACCTAAAGTTCTTTCAACCTTCTCATTTTACAGATGAGGATACTGAGGCTGATAGAGGTGAAGTGACTTGCCCAGGGTCATACATCAAATAAATGGTTGAGTCACGACTCTAACCTTAAATTCCATACAAAGTTGAAGAATAAAAAAGTCATTTAAAACTGAGGCAGCCAGGAAATCGATGACCTACTGTCCTGGGATAGATGTCTATCTATCCCAGGTAACTGTCAAAGGTGGCATGAGGTGGGAGGTGGAGGAAGGGTAGACCTAAGGTCATCAGGAAACAATATGCCAAGAATGGCATGTCTACAGTCAGAAATTCCTGCGAGTGACCTGCTTACTTCTGGGGAAGGCTTCGAGATTTTAGTCTCATTTGTGAAGTCAAATAATCACTCCCCACACTGGAGATAAAGGCAGATCATACGACTACCTAAGGACCTTCCAAACATTTCTGAGGCCACCAGTGGTTGTCATGTTCATATTTCCCATGTCTGGAATATTCTCCCTCCTCATCTCCATCTCTTAGAATTCCTAGTTTCTTTCATGACTCTATTCAAGTGTCCCCTTCTACACAAGGCCTTTCCTAATCTCTCTAGATTCCTGAAATTACCCAGTATTTACTCTTTGCTTGTAACTATTTGTATCTGCCATCCCCCCATGCCCATAGTATCAGCTCCTGGAAGGCAGGGTCTTTCTCATTTTTGTTTCTGAATACCCAGTGGTCTGTCTAGTACTTAGCACATAACAGATGCTCAGAAATGCTGGTTGGTTGACATGATGCCTTTGAGCAAGCTGACACCTCTTGAGTTTCTTACCGTTTCCTATGATAGGAGCTAGCACAGGGGCTTTTGGAGGTGGGAGGGGGTTCAGCCGTGGAAGCATGCCATTCACTTGTTTCAATCTTTCTGCTTTTACTTGCTCCATCCATTTAGTGCCTGTCGTGTTCCTCCGAGCTTGCAAGGCAAGAGCGGTGGTTGCCGTGGAAATGGTAGAGTCCATGATGGGGGTTTCGTCAATGGCGCTGAGGTCTCCTACACTGCCTCCGTTGGTCAGATGGAGCTCGATCCCACTGTTGGAATAGGGGCTGCTGGGGGACTGCTGGCTGCTGCATGAAGACTGACCACCAGGGCTTGGCTGAGATGTCTATCGAGGGGAGGAGACCAGAGAAGAAACTTGTCAGGCTGAGCCATGAGCCTTAGCTGGCTATCGAGCTAGTCTACCACAGAGGAATGATGTGGGGATAGTGGCCAGTGACTCATGCTACTTGGGCTGCCTACCACAGGTGTGCCCTAGCTGCTTGAAAAAGGGGGAGTCAATAGGGAGCTAAGGAGCATGTATGCCCAGGAAAGGTACCACTGGAGGAAGCCTATGTCTACCTTAGCCTGGCTCTTTTCATTCTCTGTCTTCCCTTTTTCCTCTCAAAAGCTTAAGTTAGAGGACAGAATTACACACACACACACACACACACACACACACACTATCTATATTCTTGCACACAAACATGGCAAATCACTCCCCACAAGACTGTTCTCTCCATGCAGTCTGGATCATGTGTGAGATCTCTTGAGGACCAGTTGTCTCCATGCCATCAGCATGTCTGTTGCAAGCACAGAGACCAATAGGGAATCTTTTTCTTTTACTTATGCCTTTCTAGCTGGTCCCCAAACCTCTACCAGCTAGGGATGGGCAGCCATCCAGCATGAATGGGCAAACCCAGTTCCAGCTCAGCTCCATTGAAGATGTTCTTTGTTATGGGCCTGGAGCCTCCGCAAGGGCCTGAGGGGATCCTCCTTCCTGAGCAGTGAGGGGGCCTGGGAAATGGCTAGCTCACTCGTCCTCCTGGCCAGTTCATGCTATGCCTTCTCATCAAATTCAAGTAAGAGCCAGGTTTATCACCATGTAACAAAAAGCCTGCAGACTCATGCAATTCTAATTGGCCACAGGTGGTAGTGCATTCAAACACATCCTAAAACAGTAACATAAAGGAATTCATGCCTTCTGCATACACACTTCGAGGGCAGCCCCAGTGGATTCACAAGGTGGTACAAATAATTCCAAATGGCATTGGGAAGTCCCAAATGCAAAGAGTTGGCAGATGCCTTGCATTCAGGTGACTAGCTACATCCTCTTGTGGCATGCAAGGCCTAGATACATACACACGGATAGGAAGAGCCCAAATTTCCCACATGCCAAGCATCACAAAAAAAAAACACAATGTCAAGGATGGGCATGTGGTTGACTGAAGGTTCATCACCAGATACATCATGGAGGTTCACATGTACGAGGGGAAAGGGAAGACAAAATGACAAGGCCAAACAAACATTCCAGTGACAAGACATCTGAGAAGGTCAGTTCCCCTCACCTGATTACCCACTGTCCTTAGGAAGTGAGAACAAGACAGTTAAGAGCATTAGACAAAAGAGACATTGGATTAGTAAGGAAAAAAGGTGACAAACTTTAATTCACAAAGCAAGGTAAACCATTACAACTAGTTGTCATATTTAAAATGAAATGGAACCAAGATCAATCAGGGACATGCATTAAGGACCAGCCAATACATAGAGGGAGCTGACAATTTGTTTTTCTTTAAAGAAAGGTGGTTGTAACCAGTTGAGGGGTTGTTAACTATTCGGGGAAAATCAACTGTGTTGTTTCTTAGGTAAGCTACTTAATCTATCTGGGCCTCGGTTTCCTCATCAATCAAATGAGGACATTGGTAAGGGACTTCCTGACTCTAACATATCATAATTTAATGAGTTCACCAACCAATTAGCATCCTGGAATATCCAAAATATCCTAGACCTGAATCCCTCTGAATTTCCCATTTCTACCATTGACCTTGGATATAAAAGAAGACATTGGGTATTCCCATATTGTGTCTGTAATAATAATAATAATAATAACAATAATAGCATTTATGTAATACTTTAAGGTTTGATGAATGTTTTATGGATATGACCTCATTTGATCCTCATAGAAATCCTGGGATGTAGGTGTTATTATTCTCTCCATTTTGCAGATGAGGGAGTTGAAGCAGACAGAGGTTAAGTGATTTGTCCAGGGTCACAAAACTAGTAAGTGTCTGAGGTTAGATTTGAACTTGTTTTCCCAACTCCCCAGCTAGGGTCATTGCACTACTTAGCTATGTTCTTGGGCTTGGCAAAACTTCATTTGGATATATGCCCAGCCTGTGCAATTCTCAGCACTTAGCACAGTACTTGGCACATAGTAGGTATTTAATAAACAATTATTGACTGGATGATTGATCAGAAAAAAAAAAAGAATCCAGGGAAGGCAGGACAGGCTGCTCTAGTCTGAAACCAAAAGCTTCCGTATTTGATATATGGGACCACGGTGATTGAAAAGTCACTTTTCTCTCCTTCTCATGAGAAGAGACATTGGGTATTGGCACAGGTCTTACGCTGCTCTACGTATGTGATTCTGCAGTCTTCAGGGGGAGGCAGCTACCTGATCTTCATGATGAATTCTTATAATGCCAACTTCATGGGGCACGGTGCAAGGCTCACATAAGAATGCGTGCAAGCTTTAATCTGCTACAGAAATATCACTTAAGGTACGTCATACCTAAAGGAATTATGAGGAAAATTGCTTTGTAATTTAACTACTTTGTCAATTAGGGTTTTCAAACAGTATGTTTTCTAAAAGGAACACAGCCCATACCCTAAAAGGTACCAGTGGCTTGTCCGTTACTATGGATCTGGCCCTGGGAAATCACACACCCGTGGAAAGAGCTCCCTCCAAACAACTAAGGCAGATGGGCAGCTGCTTTCGACCTTGGGTCTTGGCAAGCAGTCTGAGTACAAGGACATGTGCTAGCACCTAGATGTAGAGGTTGAGAGCTAGAAGGATTCTCACATACCATCTAATCCAACCCCCTCCATTTATAGATAAGGAAATGAGGCCCAGAGAAATGGAGTGAGTTGCTCTAGGTCACAAGGCTAGTTAGCATCCAAGGTGAAACTTGCACCCAGGTCATCCTAACTCCAAGGCTGGCTGTCTGTTCCCCCATATGTCCTCTGGCCTCTTGGTGTAGATGAATACAGGTGTTCATACCTATGCAGTGTTGGCAAACGTGTTTAAGATGAGACTGTCCCCACCTGACCGGAAGTAGATTTTTCTGTTTAATTGTAGTTTGTTCCTCACGTCTAAATGCATGGAATTGTATCTTATCCCATGACCAGATGCTTCACAGGGCAGAAATGAATGGAAATATCCAATAAAGTATATAAAAAATAACCTCACCCCCTAGCCCAAATATGAGGCCCTGCCAAATATATACTCATTTCCAGATCCTTCTATGACATTCCCTTTGGGGGCTTCTTGAAGCTCCCAGATGCACCTGACCTGGGATTTTTGGAAGTGTCTGATGGCTTTGGGTCTTAGTCATAACCACCGACCCTCCCTTAGTCCGAGGACTCAATTGTTCCATAACTGCAGGAATTATATGACAAGATAATGGCCTTCTTTCTATGAGGCAATTGTGGCTTTCTCGCTTCCTCACAGCACTCTGGTTCAAGATGGATAAAAAATGCTGTGGAATTAGGTGCCGAGGACACCCTTTTAGCATGATTATCTCATGAAAAGTTCACCCTCAGGAAAAGCCTGCAGGCAGTGTGACCTCAGCTGATGACATCTACACTGAGAGCCTGGCAGTACAAGGTACACCACGTCCTATTTTTTCTGGACCCAGATTTTGTACTCAAGCCTCTTGACTCCTACAGGGGTTTGGAGGCATTAGGAAGGGCTAGGACGAGCCCGAAGGTGGGGCTAGCGCCTACCATTGGCTTCTCAGACTTGACCGTTTTCACTTGCAGGCATTCATCCCGCTTTGAGGTAGAGTTGTTGAGGTCCTTCTGCTCGCCCAGGGCCCCCTGAGTCTGCTGGCCAGGAGATCGGGATGGGGCATGGCTGCCAGGCTCCCGAGGAGGTGGAGGCCGGGGATGGAGGTCTCCACGTTGCTTCTTCGTGACATGAGCTTCAGGGCCGTGCACAGTCTTCACGTGTTTGCGAAGGGAGCTGGGGTCCGTGTACCGTTTGGTGCAGCCCGGAATCTTGCACACGTATGGTTTCTGTTGGGAACACAGGAAAAAAGACACTAGATTAGGCTGTGCATTTTTGTCATCTGAAGTCATAACTGGATAGTTATCTTCATACTTTTAAAGGCTTCTGTCCCTTCTTTTTTTCCTTTGGTCAATAGTTTTTCAATTGCTCTCCTACCCACGGTAAAGGAGAAAAACAGGAATGCCATGTTACAGAGTGCTTAAAATCCCCAACAAATTAACATGAGGAGATAACCAAAAGAACCCATATAGAGAGTGGAAGGTGAACCACATTGGCATTGTTTTTTCTGGGATACACAAACCCAAGATGTTAAAGAACCCACCAGAGTGTACCTAATATACCATATGTGGGTTGTACTAATGGTCTTTTAATCTTAGTTCCAAAGAACATTATTGTTAGTTCAGCTCTCTGGGACTCAATTTCTTCATCTGTAAAATGAGGCTCCATGGCCTTGGAGAGCCCTCCAGCTCTAGGATCCTAACTCACTGAGCCTTTCTGAGTTGCAATTTCCCCAATGTTCCTTTTGGCTGGAACTTGGTGAGCCCATGACATTATTATTACTTAACTTATCTGAATTGTATAAAAGTTTGATAATGTTCATGATGGGATATATCATAGCTCTAGAACTGATAGCTATTGAATCCAACCTAAACAGTTTACCTATAAGGAAACTGAGTCACAAAGTGGGAAGATGACGTGACCAGGATGATCAAGGTAGCTAGTGGCAGTGCCTGGGTTTGAGGAAAAATCTGATCTGATCTATATCCCTCGTGTGACTCTGAACAGAACCAGTAAGAATACCAGGTCTTGGACTGTGGACGACATTCATTCATCTATTTGTTAGGTTGACTTACTCTATCGAGTAGGTACTTTCCACCCTATCTGGCAATGTTTTCTTGAAAACCCAAAGGCAATTGAATGGACTCTATCACCTGTAAGGACCATTTCTGCTACAAAACTATGAATATGGCTATGAGAGGTGTGGTACCATAGCAAAGAGGGTTAGCCTTGGGATGAACAAGATTTGGGTTCAAGGTCTTCTCCAGATCCATCCTCGCTATGTAAATATGGGCCAGATAATCGACCTCTCACTTCTCTAGACAATTCTCTAAGATGATGATAGATACCAGTAGGCAATTTATAATCATTGAAGGAGTGAATATCCTGGGAGTTCTGAACAGTGATGAAATCAAAGTTCAGCCTTCCACCATTCCCCAAAGAGCTACTAATACCATTTATTCCTTATTAATGGTCAAGTAATTTATATCCCATTATTAAATTTATAAAATAAACTAATTGTAAAAATGTGGAAAATGGAGCGCTGATAAGCTTAAATAATTTCTGACGTGACAGCTTCTGTGAATCTCACTATTTAACCCTAATATTCTCATGGCCATTGCTGCTCTTTAGTTTTCTGGGCTTAGATCATTTCTATGTTCCCATCTACATATATACTCTTGAGATGATGGTCTATTAGAAAACCAGCTATCAGGAAATGCATGAGCTGTCCAATGTGCCTATTGTAAAAACAAGAAAGAACACTTCTTCCCCAAGCATGCTTCCAGAAGCATTTTTTCACTAAAAGCCACTGAGCAGATTACCTGCTCCCTAAAATGCTGAAATGCACTCACTAATGTGGTGAAGCTGAGATCCCTGAAATTACCCTGAAAGCTTCACCCCCAAATGGGAGTTTCCTTTAGAAAGAATTGGTTCCCATTAAAGAGAAATGACTCCTATTCAGGAGGTCATGTGACTTGTGGCATATATAGAATGAAATGAGCACATCAAGCTACATGCATTAGAGAGAGAATGGCTCTAATGACCAGCCTAAGAATGGTATAGATGCCTGTGATTAACATCCCCCCATCCCCCTCCCTCCATTGACACAACTTTTTCCTCCTTGGATATACCAGGACATGACCCACAGAATGGGACCACATCTGCTTCTCATATCTCTTATAGCTGATCTTTACATAATTCACACATGTGCATACATTTATATATGCATTAACATATATGCTCATTATATATAATGTATACACATACACATCACGATGTCATTTTACACAGATAACAGAAAAGAAGTCCCACCTCAATGCACTAAAAGCCAACGCATTTTTGATTCTCTCAAATATTATTCAGTCCAAGCAATTATTAGATCCTTATTATGTCCTTATAGCCTGTAGTATCTTTAGCTCAGGCACATAGTAGGAACTCAATAAAGAGGCATTGTATTGATCTGAATTAATTGTGAGCTATTATTTTAACCACTAGGAGATAAAGCCTAGTGACAAACAGTCCCTGGCTTTACTTAGGAAGTTTGCCTTCCACCACGCTAGTCAAAACAACAGATACAAGTGGACAGTCTGAGTTTCCTTTGCCTGAACAAATCCGGAAGCGAGCGTCGCACCCAGGACATCTGTTGGTTCACTGGTTATCCATTTGTTTGGTTGTGTTTTTACTGCTTATCAACTTTATTGATGATGCAAAACAGAGAGGAAAAACAAATGCCCCCATATCAGAATCAGACTCCCACCTATCTGAACAGCCTGGAGAAGGGAGCAGGCACTCCCAAGAGGAAATGTAGGAAGCAGAAATATCCAGTCCCCAAATGAGAGGGTGCAAATATAGCAAGTAAAAGCAGAGACTCTGATCACTTCTTATCTGAATGATCAGAAAGCTTCTTGGCTTTCCCTGCTGAAGGATGTGTTTTTATAAGTCAGGGCCTTGATGAGATTTCAGAATTTATCCCAGGGCTCACAGGTTTTTTTCCCACAAAGGAGACACACTAAGGCAGAGTCATCATGGTGACTGAGGCTCATGGTTTTTTTCATTATTGGTTCAATGAGTTTGGGTAAATATCTATTCATTTTTACTTATTGAAATTGAAAAGGTCTAAAAAAAACTCCTGTTCTTAAAATGCATCATCTGCAAGCTTATTTTAGACATTGTTTATTGATTAACTAGATTTTCCTATGCCTAGATGAATCTTCATTCATTCATTCATTCATTCATTCATTCATTCATTTGTTCACTCATTTATTCATTCACAGATTTACAAGGCAAATCTGACAAATTTGTTTTAAATAACAATGTATTTTATGAATTGGAAACAACTCTGATACAGAGCAGGGATTTGTATTTCTAATACCAATGGTTATACAACCAAATATTATCTCGAACAAGAAGAGAAAACCTTGGTATATATGACCCTAAGCAGCATTTTCCAAATGAATTTTGCCATTTTGGGGATGAAACAGATTCATAGGACTGTAGACTCCAACAGAGCTAAAGAAGACCTGAAGAGTCTCACATTCCACCACTTCATTTCACACATGAAAAAGCTGAGTGAGGCCTTTAAGTCTCAAGTGACATGCCAACCCAGGAGAATATAACTCCTTGAATAACAAATATAATAATAACGAGCATTTCTATAGTACTTTAAAGTTTGTGAAGAGCTTTCTAAATATTATCCCACTTGAGCCTCTCAATAATCCTGTGAAATTGTTGATGCTGATCACTCCATTTTATAGATGAACACACCAAGGTTCAGGGAGGTTAAAAGTGATTTGTCTAGATTCATACAGCTAGTAAGCACCCGAGGCAGGATTCAAACTCAGGTCTTTCTGACTCCAAGCCCAGACACGGCCCAGCTGCCACCTAGTATGCAGATAGGTTTGTTTTCACTTTTTTATTTTTATACCTAGCCCCAAACACATAACTCATACTTAATAAATGCCTATTGACTGACTGTACAAGATCCAGAACTGGCTGGAGAGAAAATTCAAGGAGAATAGAAGAGGTACCCCTTTGCCTCCTCCAAGCACAGGAGGAGGAATTAGGTGGGAGAATTAATCCCTCAAGATACTTGTCTTCTCTTTTAAAGTGATTGCTTATGGATAAGACCTTGAACCTTGTACCCAGTGTTGTAAGTAGCCCCATGGAGACCTCCTGGTGCAGTTGTCTGGGAGAGAGGGACCTGGGCTCTCTCAATGATGAGCCGAGGAACATAATCTCTCCAGGCATCACTATTCTGCTAAAACCAAATGATCTCTGTCATTTCTTCCTGCACTAAAGATTGACATTTGCACAGCTCCATTTTAAGAAGCTAAATGTTGTGACCTGAACTGGGGGGTATAAGTAAAGGGGGAAGAAGGTCATTTAGTCCTATGTTGTTTGAGTTGCCTTACAGACTGTCTTTTGTATTCAGCTTTTCCCAGGGCTTAGTGGGATTCTTGCCACTGAATAAGTGATTAATTCACAATTTTCATTCATTGATTCATTCTTACACAAGGACCAAAAAAGCAGGCGGGGAGAGGAGGAGAGGTTTCCTTTCTGCCCACCTAAGAATGGAGCAGAGGAATATTTTCTTAGAAAGTGCTAGTACCCACTAACTCCAAAATCTCAGAAAGGATGGTATTAAGCAGTAAGGGATCTAAAGGTACCACATTTCTTTCCTTTGGGTTAGCTTTCTTTTGGCTTTAATTAATACACATTTTATAAATCAGATAAAAAAAAACCCTTCTCAGCTTTTGATTCCCAGAATCCTACTCTGGCACCTAGCACCTTTGGAAAGGGCAGTGGATTTCAAGTCAGAGAGCCTGGGTTGGGCATTGTGGTTCTGTCATTCACGTACACGACTTTGGCCAAATCAATCTCACCAATTGTCGGTTTCCTCATATGTAAAATGAGAGGATTAGACTGAATGGCCTCGGAAGCCCTACTAACTCTCACTCTCTAATCCTGTGACCACATTGGAGTCAGTTCCTTCATCCGTAAAATAAGAGTTTGTTGGACCACATGACCTCCGAGGTCTCATCAGGCTATTCATCTATGGTCCTATAACCTCTGGAAGACTAACTTAGCTGAGTTGGCTTTTGACCTCTAGATCCTGCTACCTTTTTTTCCTAATTTTTAAGAGTAGTAATTAAGTAAAGAAATCAGAAAAATAAGATTTAAATAAGCAATGTATTAGCAGCTGCAACACTAAAATGGAATCAATTCAACCACAAAGGTTCATTAAGATGTGCAAGGCTCATGCCTCTTTCTCCATGTGTAGGGTGTGTGAACTTCTCATGTTAACAGGATTCCATTATGAGGAAAGCGCTACATATAGATGACCAGAAGATGGAGCCACTGAACAACGAGAAGAGAACCCTGCTTGGGGATTTGTTTGCTAAAATCGTTTGCTTTTCCTTCGAGGTCCCCCCTCAGGCACCACCTCCTTCATCAAGTCTTCTCTGGTCCCACATCCTGCCCCAATCTGAAAGAGCTCGCTTCCTCATGAAGCAGGCCTTGAAGAGCCTCCAGTCTAGGCTTCTGCATTGCCCTCAGCCCATGCCCTGCGCCCTCAGTATCCAGGGGCCAGAAGAATACTGCTGGAGAGCCAGAAGGGCCCCCAGAGGCCATTGCAGCCAACCCTTTCATTTGACAGCAGAATAAACAAGCCCCCAGAGTCTAAGTGACTGACCTAAAGTCACACGGATGGTAACATGATGGAGACTCAGGTCATTAGACACCACTGTCCCACACTGCCTTCCAAGGCTGCAGCTCCTCTAGACTGTAAGCTCCCTGAGGACAGTGATTGTGCTAGTGCCTGTCTGTACACACCACAGGGTCTAGCCTAGGATCTGGCATGTCCTACTGACTGCCAGCTTCCTTCCAAGCCCAACCCAAGCATTACTTCCCACCTGAGGCCTTTGGCACCCTCCCATGCCCATGCCCTGTGGCTTTCCTGTGTTTTGTACGTATTTTGTTTTTTTCCACATGTGGATGTGTTGCTTCCCTTGTTAGAATGTAAGGACAGGCCATCTTTTTGTTTTACAATTCCCAGTGCCAAGCACATCCCTGGCCTTCCTATGTAGGACCCATGAATATAAATTCATTCCTAAACTAGATGGGGAGACGTGCTGCTGGAGGAAAAATCGTAGTGGGCACTTAATAGAGGGTCATTGGTTGATTGGCATCTAAGCACACATGCATGAACTCTTGACAGTGAAGGGCTTCCCTCTTCCCAGTTATTTTATTCTTCACCCGAGTAGCTACTCAGTTGTCCTAATGATGCACAAAGAAACTCATGGGATCATCTATAGCCCTCATCACTCTAAGAATGGAAGGAACCTTAGGGTTCAGCCGGCACAACCCCCTGTGCCTACCTGTTTAGCATCAAAAGGAAAACTTAGGACACACTCCAAATGTCCAGAAATGGGAAAGGAAAGCAACCCCTAACTTACTGGCATCCATCACTGCCAGTCCCAATACAGAGGCAGCCTCTCTCCATTATGAGACTGGGCAGTCACTCCCTTACCTCATTGGAATGTGTCCTGTTTTGATGCTTGGCTCGGTCCGAGGCATTGGAGAATGCTTTGTTGCAGCCCTCGTGCTCGCAGACATACGGTTTCTCTCCAGTGTGAGATCTCAAGTGGGTTTTCAAGTTTTCTAGTCTGGAGTAGGCCTTGGTACAACCTTCAAACTAAAGACAGCAGGTATAACAAGATTATTCTATTGACAGTAGCGGATTACTCACAGAGGTTGTGAGGGGCTGGCTAAGCAAAGAGCAGCCCTGAAATTCTGGGTTATCCGGCCCGAGAAATAGCTGTGGGCAGAAGAGCTCCCTTCCTGCAGCTGCTCCCCAGCTCGGTACCTCTCCGGGTGAAGTTTCGGACACCAGGGCTAGCAAACACCCTCAAAGGTTCATGTGGCTGTTTTTAATTTTTAGACGGTGACCGAGGACAATGGGCCCCCACCTCAGACCACTGTTCTGGTCAGATGCCCACTACTTCACGTTCAGCACAAAGTTCATTGATAAGTTTTTGTCTTTCCAAGAGTGCAGAATTTGTTAAGGTCTGCCAAGCAACCATGCACACCTCACCTCTCTCCACCCTTGATTCACTTTGGGAAGGAAAGCCAACCATAAGAGCATTTGTGTTGTTTCCTGGGCTGCACAAAATGCCAGAACGTTCCAAATCTGGAGGCCAGGTATTTACTGATGCCAACTTGATGCAAGTAAAGTTTTTCTCCCATAAGTTGGAGGACAGTCTGGGACCGGACTGATGTAGGCAAACTTTGTGTCCCTCAGTAGAGTGTAAACTTGGGGAGGGCAAGGATGGCTTTCCCACAGTACGTGAATCTCAAGCATTTGTTACAGTAGCTAGCACACAGTGGTCACTTAATTATTATTTGCTCAGAAGTTGGCGTGTGGTTTCCACGGGATGAGAATGGCACAAAGAGGAAACTCTCTACCAGTGCAGGGCAGCGCTTTGTTGGTGACTTCCAGTTTCAGAGAATTGACTGGAGCACAGAGAGGGTGATTTGAGTGTCCAGTGTCACACAGCCAGTGGCTGTCAAAAGAAGGACTTGATTCTGTCCAGATTTTCTGACCTCAAGGTTGGGTGTCTATTGATGACACTACATCATCCCTCAACTATCCAGAATGAGAAGCACTTCCCTTTTGTGTTCTGCTAGAGGCATGGGCTGGGGAAGCTGCCTCCCATAACCAGGCTGCTTTGCAGGCAAATGACAAGGGCTTCCACTGTCCCATCAGTACTTGGGCTTTCCTGAGACACCCCTAACATTCCCTTGCCTATCATCCTTTAAAAAGTCATGATCTCTTTACCTATCCTTTTGTCTCTTCCACAGGGAACCCCTAAAGACTGGTGCAACCATGACCACCACACCTTCCCTCGGCACTCTCCCCCAAGACAATCAGACCCTGGGTGCCCAATGTTTGAAAAGTGTCCTGGGGCCCCCTTACTCACAGTGCATTTATGCGGTTTCTCTCCCGTATGTCGTCTCATATGAACCACCAGCATATACTGGGCTTTGAAGGGTTTCTGTTCTCTCGAGCAATCTAGCCATCGGCACACAAACTCCTTCTTCTCCCCATGGATGTGATCGTTATTTATGTGCTGCAGAGATATTGGGGAAGACGAGACAGATAATGCAAAAGTGGATTACTCCATTCTATATGTGATGGTCACCAGAGACAAGAGAAATAAGAAGCTCGCCATCTTCTTTTGGAAATAATTCCTGAAGTCGTGGTTTTTGTTCTTTTTTTCATCCTTAACGATAGATAAACATTTTGGAAGAATTCATAATAAAGATTTTTCTTTCTTTTTTTTCCATAGGAGACAGGAGTATCACTTTGCTCTCAATAGGGTCTTTACCAACGGGACACAAAAGTTTTGGTTTTGGGGTTTTTTTAAGACAATCATCTGTAATAACAACCCACATGTAAAAAACTTTCAAATAGACAGTATGATAGAAAGGCAAGCTGTGCTTTCAGACTTCTCCAATCTGCCTCCCCGTGAGAACAGCGCATTGTGTTAGGAACCCACGGAAGCTGAAGGCTGCCTCATCTCAGGCTATCCAAGGGTGAAGGGGCCCCACTCCTCTAAGCCACATCCAGAAATTATTCCCTCTGCAACATCTCCGACACAGTGGACATCCAGGCTTTTCCTTAAGATCTCTAGGGAGGGGAACCCCATCCCCTCTTAAAAAAAAAGCCCATTCCTCATTGAGACAACTTTCATGGTTAGAAAGCTTTTTCCTAATGCCAAGTGTAAATGTGTATTTTTCTACTGATTCTGCCTCTGGGGCCAAGAACGCCAAGGCTAGACCTTCATCTCCAAGAAGTCTCTTCAAGTATTTGAGGATGGCTCTCCTGTCCCTCGCCTCTCCCCTCCCTCCAAGTCTGCTCTTCTCTGAGCTAAGGAAAAGAGCTCATCGCAGAATACTGCTACTTGCAGTTTGCACAGTGTTGTACAGTATCAGCAGCAGCTTTTGACCTGCTACTCCACTAGGTGGCCTGGTACTTTAGAAAAAGTCATTTTATCCATTAAAGTATCAATAAAAATCTGTTCCCAATGCTTTAAGACTGATAGTGGCACTGAGATAAAACCACTGTTCATTCTAGAGAGAGCTTAGAGGAAAAGCCTGACCCACAAAGAGCCAGCAGTGCCTATCCCAAGCCAAGGAAAGAAGAGCAAACTTGCCCCAATTTCTGAGGAGAGGGACAGAAAGAAGGAAAAAGAGAAGGAAAGGGAAGAGAAAGAGAAAGGAGAGGGTGAGGAGGGGTGGGGAAGGGAAGAGGGAGAAGGAGAAAGAGTGAGGTGAGGGGAGACGAAGGAGGAGGAGAGATAGGGGGAGGGGGAAAGGGAACAATAGAAGAAGAGGGGGGACAGAGAAGGAGAAGGAAAGAGGGAAGAAAAGAGGAAAAGAGGGAAGGGGAGAAAGAGAGGGGGAGAGAGAGATGGAGGAAGAGAGGGAGAGAGAAGGAAAGATGGAGGGAGAAGGAAAAAGAGAGAGAAGGAGAGAAAAAGAGAGGGGGGGGAGAGGGAGGGAGAAGAGAAAACACCATTTCTTATGTTCATAATTTTGGAGCATTCCTGTGGTAAACAGATGTGGGTTTTCTGTAAAAGGACAAGTAGGTTTTTTTTTTTCTGTTTTCCCAACTTTATTAGCATTTCTGAAAAGTTAAGATGGTGTACAGAAGTATATAGAGAGAACAGATGTGCTGGACCATATACAATGAGCAGTCTTTATAAGAGTTTATGCTTCACATACACATCTCTGAATCCATTCATATTACCCTGCACTGTCACAAAAGTCTACAGATGGCTAGCCTTTTGAAACTAAGCCAGTTGAGAACAGAGGGGTTTGAATGCCTTCTTATTTCCAGGGGAAAGACAAGGAACCACACAAAATCCATCAACTAAGGTAACTACTGGTCTAATTATCCCAGTCTTTAGAAAAATCCAACTTGATGCTGGGAGAGCAGGCCAGATTAGCCCAGTAAATGACCTGAGGAATTCACCTATGCCAAAGGAGCTCAATTAAACCCTGCACATTTCCAGCTGTGTCCCCCAGTTCTCCATTCAGGTTCCTAGAACCTGTCTGAGTTCACAAGACCTTCAGGACCTCTGCTCAGAGGCCCCCATTGGTGCTGACTCTAAAACAGCACCCAAAGATACCAACATCTAACTAGGTGACATCACAGTACTGATGTCTCCTTTCTGGCTTGGCACGCCTGCTGCCTGGCATAGAGTAGTTGCTTAATGCTGATCGACCGATTGATGCATAGAGACAATGCCAGATAAGTAAAGAAGTGGAATTCAGAGGAACAGCAGCCACTCACCCATCACCTGATCCTCAAACTTCACCCTCCCACACTTCCAGTCCTCCAATGACTTGGGGAGAGTTCACTTATCCCTGCCCCTAGTGCTGGCTTCCTGGCAGGGCAGGAAGGATGTTTGGGCAGCACCTAAAACAGCAGCCAGCCTGGAGCTTTCTGGGGTTCTCCATGCAGTCAAGAACTCGGTGATTATAGCAGCAGCAGGCTGAGCTCTCACTGTTATCGTTGGGGTACAGAGGATTCTGGTAACTTCATTCTGGAGAGGGGTCCCTGCTCCCAATGCTTGTGAACACACGGGGCTCTTGTATTTACACTCCTGTGCACCTGCTATGTTCTCCTGCCGAAATTTAACCGACATTTTTGACTGCAAAGCATTTTTCATCTTTTTCTGTGTATCTCCAGAATCTAATACATTGCCTGGCACAAAGCGTATGCTTAGTAAATATCTATTTAATTATATGAGAATACCTTACTATAGGAAGGGTCTGACATATCCTCATATGGGGGACTCCAAATTTGTCCCTACCTGTCTCTGACTTAATAGATAAGTCCTAGGAAGTTATCAGAGGAGCACAGAAGTAAACAGATTTGCCCAGGGTCACACAGATCCTAAATTGCCAAGGTGGGATCTGAACCCAGGATTTTGTGACCCCAAGGTCAGTACTCTAATCAATATGCCATGCTGACTTGTTTTACAACATCCTTCCTTAAAATGGTGCCAAATTTAAGAAGCACAAAGAAGTTCCCTTGATTTATTATCAATATGTCCTTCTCAAATTACCTGGTTTTGATTCTATATATATTTATATATGTATATGTTGTCTGTCTGATAGAATATGAGTTCCCTGAGGTCAGGGGGTACATTTTAGGCAGCTAGTTGGCACAGTGAAGAGACTGTTGGACTTGAGGTCAGGAAAACATGAATTCAAAGCCTCATTCAACTACTAGCTGTGTGTCCTTGGGCAAGTCTCTTATCCTCTTGAAGACTCTGTTTTCCCATCTGCATAACAGGAATAATAATCGCACCTAGCACCTATGGTTGCTCTGAGGATCAAATGAGATTACATATGTAAAGTGTTTTGAAAACCTTAAAGTGATATATGTATTTTATATATATATATTATATATATATATATATATGTTAACTATTACTATTATTGTTTTGGTCCCAGTATCTCCAGCACCTAGAACTTGTTTAGCACGTAGCAGGTGTTTAATAAATGCCTGTTGATTGATTGATTGGAATTCTGAGTGAATTATTCTATTTGGTTCCTTTCACCTTTGGCTACCTTCCTGCCTTAAAAGTTCTTGAATAGATGTCTTTATGCAGCCTCTGAAAATTTGACTTTTTCTGTTTTAATCAAGTAAATAAATAATTTAACTGGAGGGACAATACTCATGTGTAAATTCCAAACTAGTCTTAGACAAAGATGGGTGGCCTGCCAAAGTCCCCAGAGGCAGAAGGAGATAGATGGGGTAAATTACAAGCATTTGCTATATCCCCTTGCTGTATGAAGAGGTGGGAATGATCCACTTCCCAGCCTAGGGCCCCCAATGTGCTGGTACCCAAGACAATGAACCTCCCTCGGGGCTAGGTCTGATCCTTCAGCTTCCCAGTGGGAACCAGAGAAGTGTGTGCTTTGGGGAAACCACAGCTATAGAAAAAGGGGGTGGCTTGTGGGCCACTCTGGGCAGCTCTAAAGCTGTCCCTTCTCAATTTGAATCCACAGCGGCGGTGTTAGCATGATCGACTTCCAGCTGGCAGCCCCCGGGACTCCTCTAACCCTGGAGAGAGAGAGGTAGGTGGGCAAAGGCTCCAGTCTCTTGGTAAATGAGGCCATGGAGGCTCCTGGGCCTTTTAAGTGCCTATCCTTTTGAAGCCTGGCACTTAACGCCAACCAAGTGGTCTGAGTGCTGTCATAAGAAAGGGGCTCGTTAATACCTCCAGAAAAGCTGTGCTGAATGCACCCTCCCTTCCCTCCCAGAAAATGGAGGTCTGTGATGGACTGCACCTGATTCCTTTACCCCACATCCCTCCTCCCCCCAATATCTGAGTTCACATAGTTCTCCTTCACTCTCTCAAAGACTCTCAGCTCCCACCATCTGCAGGCAGCCACAGGCTGCCCCATGTGAACCATCACATCAGCCTTGATCAGGACCCTGATGCAGACATTCCCTTGTTGTGTGTGCCCTCTGAAGTTTTACTTCCTGATCTGTCCAGTGTGGGTAATGATAGCACCTCTCTTCCATGGTGCTTTGGGGAGCTTATATCAATGCCAGCCATGATCAAACAACAAGCATTCATTGGAAGCCGCTAGAGTCTCTCTCCCCAAAATGATCTCCTATTTACCTACTTGTCAGTAATATTATGTAGTTTTATCAATAATAGACCTTTACACAGTGTAGTATCATTTGCTAGGTGCTTGAATCTGATAACAATATTGTTAAGTCAATAGGCTTAGAGTCAGGAAGACTTGTCTTCCTGAGTTCAAATCCAGCCTCAGACACTTTCTAGCTGTGTGACCCTGGGCAAGTCACTTCACTGCCTTGCCTCGGTTTCCTCATCTGTAATATGCACTGGAGAAAGGAATGGCAAGCTACTCCAGTATCTCTGCCAAGAAAACTCCAAATGGCATCACAGAGAGCTGGACATGACTAAACACCAACAATAATAATGAGATAGTATTTACATAGAGACTGTAGTTGTACTAATTAATAGCTTTGCGTACAACATCTCATTTTGTCTTCACAACAACTTTGGAACTATGATTTTCC